AAAGCGGGAAGAAAATGGAAAGGGTGTGAAGAAAGGGTTGTATTGTGAGTGGAGGACAACTGTTGTTGAGGTGGATGTAGTGATGGGCGTGCCTGTGTCACCGGTGGAGATGTCGACTGCTGTTGATGAACTTGTTGACGGAGACGACGAAGTTCCTCAGCGTCATCGGCGGAGAGAGCCGCAGGTGGAGTAAGTTCAGCGGTGGCAAAGGGCTGAGGAGGAGTGGTCGGGGGCATGAGGCATCATGCTCCGGAGTGCTGTCTCGTAAAATAGCTTCATCGCCGGGTCCCGGTGTCAGTCGTAAAGCTTGACCGGGGGCTGCTGAAGATGCGTGCTCCGAAGCTGGTCGAGTCGAGGGAGCAGGAGTAGTTGGAGCCGGAGAGCGGTGGTCCCGTGGAGCGCGCCGAGAAGTGGTCCGAATTGATCGCCGAGAAGTCCTGGATCCATGTCTATCATGCCTGGAAGCGCTGCGGCGGGAAGGTTGTCGCCGATCCCGATCATGAAGATGGCCTCGAGAGGAAGAGCGGTGTGCGCGACTTCGATCTCGATTTCGAGAATGAGAGCGATGATCGCGTCGACTATCACGATAACGATGCTGATGGTCGCGGGAGCGATGATCACGTCCACGTTCATCTCGTCCATGTGTGGTACGATGCCGATGACGGGAGTGATGATGGTCCCGAGGGTGAGGATGCCGATCGGTGTGGGAGGTATAGTGTGGGCCCGTCAGGAATGAGCAGCACCAGGAACTCGAGCGCGAAGTGAAGCTCCAGGTGGTGGGCGTGTAGGGGGAGATGGAAGGGGAGGTAGGTGACCGGGTGTTGGTGTGTGCGCGTACTCGAGGAGCTCCATGGTAGATACGAGGGCGGAAACTGAGATTCGGACGAGGTACCGACACTTGAGGTACTTCTGCATGCAGCTGGCAGTGGTTGCGGCGAGGTCCCTGGGGGCACAGTAGCTGCAGGTTCATGGTCTCCGGAACGATAACCGGTGGTCCTGGGTCGTCGGCTCCGTAGTCAACATCTTCACCAGGTGTAGCACGATCGCGGGATCGAGAAGACTCTGGACGGCCAGTGGGTCGGTGGCGGTGACTGCGAGAGGACTCGGAAGAAGCACCACGATCCATGGCGGGTGGGGCGCTGAAGAAAGGTCAAGGTAATGGAACCAATATGAAACTAAGCGTGAAAACATGTGCGCGCGGTGGGACATGACGGGACGTGATATAAAACAAGTATAGCTAGAGCCGGGTATTGAAAGCAATCCAAGCAGTGAAAACTGAGACCGTTCAAACGTAAGACCAAAAGGGAAACAAATTGGTGCAAAAGCAGCGAACACCAGTCAGTGTACCTGTATATCATCTTCCGGGCTTGGATGTAGTCAGAAACTGGAAATGGGTCAAAGGTTTTCCTTTTCTTTTTCATTTCTTTAGTGCGGCGAAGATCAGGGTGAGACCATCTGACTACTATCTGGAATCATGGCGCGATCGAGAACGTAGGCGAGTCGAGGCAGCGCTGGGGCCGGAGCGACCACAAGCCATGTAGTAGCCGAAGGTGGAGACCGGGTCGTAGAGGTCGAAGGTCGGGAATCGGGAATGGGAGAAGAAAGATACGAGGGTCCAAGAAAGAGGTGCGTCCGCGTAGTTCAGCATCCAGCTGTGTTCAGGGCTCTGGTTGAGGGTGTGGATCAGGCCGAAAGTGGCCATCAATTCAGATGTAATAGCCAAACGGGAACGAAGGATTCCAAGGGTAAGATCCAACAATCCATGTACATGAAGGCTTGAGCAACCATGGAGATGCCCTCCGTCTGCGCCAAGCCAGCAGGAGATGGTGGCATGGCGGGAGGAGCGGGGCTGGGAGGAGGAGGAATCATCATTCTAAGGTCCCGGCAGGTTGAAATGAACCTCAAAATGGCTTTGGTCGCTCTGACCACGTTGAGGCGTTAAGCCAGCTTAGACCGCGGCGGTCACGTAAAGGCATAAGCCAGCTTAGAATTCAATAATCCAGCAAGTCTTGGCAAATAACTTTGGCCTAAGCCTGCTTTGTCCGCTGCGGACGGCTTTGTATCCGGGCAGGGGATACGTTCGACTAATCCCCGTTCGACGGGTCCACAGGGGCCACTCCTTGGGGCACCCCGGGCTCTCACGAGGAGAGACACACTTATAGAAATGCATACTGATGTGAATGCCGCTCGCCACACGGCAACTTAAGAAACCAGAATCCCGAAAAGTCAGGTACAGGAGGCCTGAGCATGTCTAGTCATCAGGAGGCCAAAACCAAAGAAGCGAATCGACGACAAGCTGAAATGACGGCGTTCGTGCACATCTGCAGAACTCATTAGCACTTTACAGGAAGAATTGGAGTAACAGCTTGGACAACAGTTCAAGCAAGCAGGTACACCATTTTGATCAGACCTGGCTTCCACTATCAGGCATAGCTTCGTTGGCATGCGTTGGCGTGATAGCTGCATGCCCCCTGCTGAAAAAGGAACAGTCCAAAAGGAACCTTGTGACTCCAAAGGTTACACACACACACACTCCAATGCTAATGCTGTGTAGTCTCTGGTTTAAAGACGTGCAAGGATTTCCTCCAGCAGACTTGCAAAATATGTTGTCAGAGCAGTTTGAGTTCTTCTTCGTGTTCCATCAGGTCCTCAGGTTTATAGTTTATATATAGCTATACCCTTGCACTGCCATCTGTTCTCGAGCCTGGAGGGCTTTGCTGACGACTACAGTGATCAAGGTCTCATAACTAGGTGACACTTCCAATACTTCCAACAAACTTCGATGCTCACAAAACCATGGATATCATCAATGCTCACACTGTGTTCAGATTTTCAGATGTGTTGAAGTTTTCACAGCTCAAAAGGGTGTGTGTGGTTTTGGATGCTCAAATGCTGTGCTCAATTCTTCACATCGCTTCTCTTGAAGCTTCTGATATCCGCACGGCTCCTTTCAAATTATACTGCTAGTATCTTCGACACTCACATGTATCAAATAGTGGAGGCCCACCAAGCTTCTCGAGCGTTATTTTGAAAGGCCACCACGTCTTCTGTCATGTCAGTGACCTGTCGAATTCGATCTTGTCGGGTGAAATTAAACGATCGAGATGACCAAGTGAACATCGAAGGCTGTTAAAAGAACTTTCCGCACAGCTAGTTGAGGACGGAAGACCGTATCATAGCAACTCACCACAGCCATGCGGAGAACACTTCGGACATATCGGCATACACTTTTGGTTCGTGCTTGAATCAGCTTTCGGCTAGTCGTTGAGGGATACGTTGCACGCGCTGCCAGATGTCTACAGCAGTGGGCGCTTTGGGGTGCTGGTGCCTCTGCAGGGTGCCGCTGCCACATGTCAATGACCGTGTGCCCTTTGGAGCCTGGGTGTTGGCGCCGTTGTTGCTCCAGGGCGCTGCTGCGAAGTGTTCGTAACTGTGTGCGCTCTGGAGCCTGAACGCTGCTCCCGCTGCAGGGCGCCGCTGCCCAGTCCGCAGTTTAGTTTTGCTATCTGCAGTCTATGCCGGCGTAATTTGTTTAAACCACTTCCCTGTGTGCACAAGAGGCATTTTCTGAGTGCCAACTGGACCAAAGCGAAGCATGATCCAGGAATCGGGTGGTTCATGCTTCAACTTGTCCACCACAAAAACGCAATGGTGCTAGTGATGTTGCTCCTGCCCGCTGCCTTTTTTAGCATTCCTGGATGCCCACACAGCCTCTTTTTGATAAGTTTGCTCCGGCCCACATTCTTGTGACACTAACTGCAAGGCTGAGGCAGCAATATTTGCATAATGGGCTTGCCCTCCCTTTGTACCAAGTACCAAATCGCGCCTACTCGGGAGATGGAAGCAAACCCCGCTTTCAGCCACACAAAGAGATAAGCGCTTGCACGACTTAGGGTCTTTGATCGTTGCCCCGGAAATGGAAGAATTGCCGAGAAGTCGTTTCTGTAGCGGATCCAAACATGAGGAATTCAAACATCCTTTTAGAAGGTGCTGTTGGACATGCTCCTTTCTACAAACACCTCTTTGGGTGCGCGCGCGGCCCACTAGGCCTTCGGTGCCAAGATCAGCAATGGTGGCTGAAGTGTTTCAACCAGCAGCCAATGGTATCAAGTCAATTTTTTTTCTCTCTCTCTCTCTCTCTCGTCTACTGTATATATATATATCTATTTGTGTCATATACAGTAGTTGTTAATTGCACAGTTGCAAGCACAAGCTGGGGTGCACATCTCATCTTTGGTCTGTTCGCCCTTGTGACAGCTTCGAACAAACTCCGCGTGGTTACAGGAAGATGGTGTTAATGGGTCGCCAAAGCTGGATCTTCGCAGAAAAGACTCATAAATATGTGTTGCAGAATTCTCTGACTGCCCAGAAATTACAAGTGGCATGTCTCGAAAGAACTGGCCACAACATCGCATATCAAGACGTGGTGTCATGGCTGTTTGTCCTGCACTGTGTGCAGGATGGAGTTGAAAGGTCACCTCATCTTGAAACGTCTGGTCTCCAATCCTGAATCGCACAGTTTTACTTCTCACATCTCATACCCTCTCTTGTCGAATAGAATGTTTTTGCAACTGTGAACATGTCTACGCTCAATTCTTTTCTAACCTGGTTCTGTTGCGCCTACTGTGAATTTGTGGCCTCTCAAGTTTGATCGCCGGACAAGGCCTAAAACCCCAAGCGCGCCATGCTGCAACTGAAATTCACTGAACTTGAGCTTCTCTTGGCAACGTTTGTCTCTTCCCACAAAAAAACGTCTTGGTTCTCGTCTAAAAATTGGTCTCCGTCAAATAAACATATTGTTCAAACAAACACATATCTTCACAAATCTGGTCATCTCTCGTGTGAAACAGCATAAACTAGCAACTAGTCTAAAAAGTAGTGATGTGTGGTGTGGTGAAGTGGCAGGTTGGTGGCGTCGGTTGACTTGGCCCAGCTTTTGGCCTGAGTGGGGAGGCTTAGGAAATGTCACTGGAAGGAAGCAGGAAGTAGGCTAAAGTAGGGTGGAAAAGGACACCTGATGGAAAGTGCCAAGACCCCAACCAAGCGGGGGAGAAACAAACTCCAGTGTCTTCACTATTCATGCAAATCATGCAACTCATTCGACCAAAACGTTTTTCATTGCTTTCTCCACTAGCTCCAAATATCCCATTGCGCGACTTGAGCAGGCAGCAGTTGGCATGCCCTGTGCTTTGTGGCTACAGGTCCCATATGTTGCCTCAGGCAATCTTCAGCGCAACTCTTTCCCTGTTTATCGTGGTGGGAATCTGTGAGGAACTATTTCATGCACCGACACCAACGCCCAGTGCATGAGAGCAAGGCAGCGTCGCATTCGTATTGACCTCCAAAATTCAAGGCTGTAGCCTGCAAGAGCCTGTAGGTTTCAATCAACATGAGTCACGAGAATCCCTGAAGGCTTTATCAACAATGCCTGCCAGGCTTTAGACTTGAAGCAAGTGGTTCAAAGCAACAGCTTCATTTCCAAGGAGCAAAATAGCACTGCTTTTGGACCGGCGTATGAGAGGCACTTTGATTGACTTTGTTGGTAACAACATGAGACACAAGCGTCTTTCTGTCTTTGTGTCTTTTCTCTTTGAACACTTTAGACCTGACATGACTCGAAGGATAAGCAGTTCACAGCGTCAATCCATGGAGTCACCCTCCAGAAGCTTCCGACGCAAACTAGATGCCACTTGGTTCATGCCTTTGCAGTTCTATGGTGCTCATTCCAAAAAGGTCTGAGAGCTATGTCTAGTCGACAAAACACTGACAGCTCAAGGCATTCGAGGTCAGACTTAAACTCTAACTTTCAGCTTTCAACCTTTTCGTGGATGTGCTTCCTTTTCCTCACTTCTATCATCCTTTTGTCATGCTTCTTTCAGCACCCCAAAGAATTGCGCTATCACAAGCTGGGATGGCTGTGCTGATCGGTCTCAACTGCATTAACCGAACAACACGTTGGTTTCTTTCACTTTGCAAACTATGTGGTGGTTGATCTAACTCCTCCTTACGGAAACACAATTCTTCGCGCAATGTTTAACTTTTGCAGAGGGTATTCTCCGTGGTTTGGTTGTTTTCACATACCACTCTTTCGCAGATCTGTCGCTTAAAACATCGCAAAACAATCTTTACTTTCGCGAACTCAAAAAAACTTTTGCGAACAGCATAGAAGCCTCTCAATGAACCTAGGCCTTTTGTTGACCTTTTGTTGATGAACTACCATGTGGGAGTCGCCCAAAATTCTTTTTCGCGGAAATGGCAATTTTGCGACACTTTCGCGAAGCTGATGTGCGGTCTCCTCCGGAGGCTGCGAACAATGAAATGGGAACCGCCACTTTCTTCTCTGCAGTACACCAGCCTTCAGAACGGTGGGCTGAAAGCAATGCTGCTGCGTCCTCCACTGATACTAGCTTCTTCCTTCTTTATGGGGTTGAGGGTTTGGGTGCTTCTCTCCGTCTCACCAATTTCTCACATCTGTTTCACCGGAGGTTTTCTTTTCCTCTGCCTTGTTTCTTCCTTTTAGCGATGGGCGCCTTGCAAATAACATTCATGTTTCTTGGAGGCTTCTTGATGGCAGCTTGCGTGCTTGACACTTGGAATGATAACGTTTAACCAAAGGACCAAAAGCCTCGACTCAAGAGGAAGTGCCCTCACTAAGGAGTGCATTGAGCTCGCAATAGAGATTGGTTCTTGATATGATATGGGTTTGTTGCCACCCCGAACGTCACAAACCGGACTTTATATATCTCTTAACAGCTACCGAGCAAATACTGCACTCCTGGATTGCAAACAAAGAAGGACTCGGACGGCATGCTTTTCCACCCAAGCTGAATTGAACATACGAAACGTGAGTCCGATATGCAATGGCTCATCTGCTGCAAAAACCCGAGGTGGCGAGACCAATTTCAGCCTTGTGCATCTTTGCATGCCCTCATTTGACTCAATAGATGAACATGCCCAGATTGTAACGCGGTGTGTCTTGCATTGTCCTTGCCACTTTGTTACGGCATGCGCCTTGCCATGTCTCACATTTGGCAGCTGGCTGGTATAGCCGTGTGCCGAAGTTGGGGGGAGCTCAAACAACGATAGCAAGCAAGTCTTTGTATTGTTCTCCATTGCAAATGGAGAAATTCCTCTTCCTGTGGTTTGCTACGCTTGAATTCCTCTTATACAACGGCACCTATCTTCTCCACAAGAGGCCTGGGGAACGCAAATGCAGAGTGGGTTTCCGGTCGACGGTCGCCCTCTTCAAGGGTGGCACTGTTGAAATGACACCCGTGCCTCACAAAAAGAAATTGAGCCTGCCAAGCCCACGAAAGTTACACTCCGCCTGGCTCAAAGGTTGACCTCAATAAGTCGGCTGGCTGGCTACGCCAATTGATGAGGTACAGGAATGCGAAGCAAGTGAGATGTCCTCATTGGAAGTAAAATGGCGTGGCAGCCCTGGACCTTCCTAAGTGGCCTGGCTAGAGATGCAACAAAAGATATTCTTGTCAGCCCTGCTGCAACACACGGAATGCGCAGCAATTTAGAATGCATTGATCTCGTGATTGAATGAGCTAATGAGCTTTGACGCACAACGCACAAGCTGGCACACAGGCCAAAGGCCTGAGATTTGAACGAATCGGAATATTGGAATTTCTCAATCTTTTGTTGTGATACTTTTCATGATACCTTCGATTGCACTGTTGAAGAGGAGACTTGAAGATGGGCTGAAATATGCGCCTCTTGGCTAAATCAAACGTCGTCACTGCGACAGTACTTTTCAACCTGATCTTCGACAAAATTGCCCTGGCGGATTTCGCCAAGGTATCAGGCAAATGACGTGACATTTCGTACCTTCGTACCGGATTTGGGAACCCCTGCTAGATTGTTGGACCTAGAACGGTTCAAATGTGAGATTTTAATGAATCAAGGGTCTCAGTGGCCAACGTTTTTTCACAAAGTGTTTGAGCAAACGCCATTAGTGCCCATCTTCAAGCAAGGAATTGATGTTGTTTGGGCAGTGCTGGGCCGTGCTGCCAAAGGTGACACACACATGCAAAATGTGACGTGCGCATGGTGACACTCATCACCTTTGGAGGAACGCAAAATGTCTTCGACAGTCGAAATACCAAGGATCGCACAAATTGAAGAGATAGATAGAAGGAAGTGCAATGCTTTGCCACCGCTTCAGCAGCCTCAATTGGTGGGGACGCCCTTTTCATTGGGACGAAGCCGATTTCAGAACTTCAATCGAGCCAATAGAACTCTTTGATTTCTTGTGGTCGGTCTTCATGTCACACAAATAAATCCGTCTCAATGATATATGGTATCCGTACATTTCAAAACTCCAGGCTCCGCGTTCTCTTGCGTACAAACAAGTAGTGCCTAACAGCCTGACAACTGGACTCCAGAATCACGGCAAAGAAATCTGCAGAATTCCGCCTCCGTTTGCGTTGAGAGATTGTGCACTTGGAGAGTACCACACAACTTCCTTGAGAGGACACGTGCATCATTTGCTTCCAGTTGATGCTTGCCGCTTCAAGACACATAAAATGTGAGAGTTCGAAAAAGGGCAATTTGAGTGGTCAAAAGTGAAAAGACACACCGTTTCAAACACGAGATGGATTACAGCTGCTGAAACTGTGAAGCACTTTGTGCATTTTTGTAACGCGCGCATGATTGTTTCTGTTTGAGCTTTTGTATTTGCACGATGCCTTTTGCCAACCAATAGCCTGCCTTTGAGGGTGCGGGGCTTCAAGGCGATGTTGCAGAACATGTTCCCTCTTACTGCTTGCGCGACTTGCAATTTCGAACTTCTTCCAGGTATTGTTGAGTAATATCATTTGCTTGCCTCTACCACTGTGGTTGGTCCTTGTGCAACACCAACTACATTGATCAAGAAAGGCAACGAGGAAGTGTCTCAACGCTTGCAACCGAGACTTTTTCAAGTAAGAGCTTCTTTAATCTTCTGTATACTTAATTCCCGTCATCTGCGGAAGCGCCCGAACTCAAGCGTGAGAGGTGGCGAGGGAGCCTATTTCCCATATGAATAGATGTCTTTCTGCCCTCTCTCGCTCTCCGTCTCCGATTGATTCAGAAGCAAACAGAAGAATGGATACAAGCTACCAAAGAAACTCGTCACTGGCTTTTTGATTTCTTATCCATGTTAAGTCACCTCTTTCAAGAAATGAAGGAAGAGCGCACATGACAGCATGCACTCCAGCAAAAGTACCGAAAGGGCAGAAGGTGACTGTGAAGACTCATCTTCCAATACCTCATCTCTCAAGAACCAACTCCAAATGCTGCAAAGCACTCCGAGTCCTCAGCATTTCACACATCAAGCTGGTCAATCTAACGGCAACGGCTGACAAAATGCCTGCCCGAGCGAAGGTGAGTGATGCCTCGGTCAGTGCTAATTTTGGACGACAAAAAACACACTGTATGCATGGGATACGTTGCCTGTGTGGCAGGTTGCTCCGTTCGGCCAAGCAAGCGGGAAACTAAAACAATGCGACGAGAATGACACAGTCGAGGAAACTCGGAACCCCTAAGCTCAATGCATGGCTTCGGTTCGTGTGTGCTTCATTGTTGTTGCCAGGATCCCTACGACACACTTCACGCATCAATGGAAGCAGCCTAGGGTGACTCAAAATTGCTGAGCCGGATGCTGGCTGATCCTTGGGCCGTGCTTCCATCTTTTCGATGGTAGTGCAATGCAATGAACAAAGACTAGCCCAAGTGAATAAATATCTTGGAGCGATGATTGGCAGCCCGTGGAGCTTTGGAGCGACAGCAACAAACACGGCCAGCGACTACACCCTTGGAACTCATCTCTGACTCTGCTCATCTACCTGGCTTGCAGGTTTCGCCGGGATAGAACTACGTTTGCAGCCTACGGTTGCCCACAAGATGAGTGCTTAGAATTGCTTATATAGTGGGTCCCGCAAGGTCAAATTAGCTAAGGAGTAAGAGTATCACTTAGACACAATAGCGTCTAGTCACTGTCTAATGTCCTGAAAACAGGATATCCATCCTGACTGGATCTTGCCTTTCTCCATGCTGGAAGCATGTGCTCACAAAGAATGCTGGTCCCAACGGCCGGGAGAGCCGAGGTTCAAAAGCAAATTGGGACGATCGGCAAATCTGCTTTTCTCATCTTTTCTGTCTCGCTCTCGACAGTTCGAGTGAAGCCAAAGTGCAAGTGTTGTAGCACAACCAATCCAACTCGACCAAATCCTTGCTGTCCAGCTGCCAGCTAATGACCACGGCGAATCCTGAAGTGGTGAGCTGAGGAGAGGAGACAAGTTGTATGAAAACTAGTCCAGTTTGGAGAAGGCTTTGGAATGCTTTGGACATCGAAGTCAGGAAAAGCTCAGGCTGCTTTGTCTGCAAAGCTACTCTAAAGCACTCCAGCATGTCTAATCTCCACTTCAGTGTTGTCCGGCAGAGGTTACAAGGCTTCAAGGACAAGTTACAGTATGTAACCTTCCTTCTGAACTTAGGACACCAACCTCCCTCACTTAGATTGTAAAATTTGTTGACGGCCAATGAAACACGCGGTGTTTGGATATGTGTACCCTGGGCTGCACCCTTATGTTTCAACCCTCTGGGCTAAGCAGCTCCAGGAAGGCAACTCGCCCGAGATGGAGTGCGAGACAAAGTTTGCATCTTTTGAAATGCTCGTGAGATGCTTGGGACATGTTACACGCATCCTAACAGCATGTTGACATCTTTTTAAGGCAAGTCAAATCCTTACTCATGTTCTTCAGCAAGCAACTGTTGAATCTGCCTTGGAGATGCTTGAATAGGATTTTCTGTTTACAAGTTAAAGCTTGTCAATCTCTTAGCCACCTTATCTTCCAGTCTCAAGTCTTCGAGTGTGAAGCTGAAGCACCAGAAACTTCCAGAAATGTAGAACTTCCCACAGTGCCACGATTTCATCATTTTCATCAGCGCGATTCAAATATCCTCCGATGAAGCAACGGAAACCAGGCACCTTGAAGTGGCGCGATTATTGATTGTTTGTCCGACTGAACCTGATTGCAGCTGAATTTGCAATCTGAAAACGTATCTGCTCTGCTGTTGAACATCCCACTTAGGGATACTTAGAGAATACTGTAAATAAATGAATCTGGAAGAACATCTGAGGGGGAATTGAGCCCTCATCTTCTCTGCTGACCAACAAGTAATGCAAAGCAGGAATAGACAAAACTGCTCTATCGCGTCGAGCTTGGACACCTTTGCCTTGCCAGTCCAACCAAATGTATTAAACCCAAAGACACAAGTGTCGCGCGACTTTTTGAGAAAAATTAACACAGCCGGAGCCCAAGTAGAAAAGAACCAAAGGTGGTAGCCTTTCTGGGCAGCGGTTGGGAAGTTGCCGACGCACAATTCAAGCACGAACCCCCAAGCCTGGGTCAGAGCCCCATCCATAGAACGGCAAAGCGTGGCCACTGGCAGTGTCAGCACTCTGGAACGAATGCCTCTGTTTCTTTCGCGCTCAGCATCAGTCCTTCATGGAACCTCATGGAACCGAACATCCAGTTTGACTCTGCAAACGGTCTTGCACGAAGGCAACACTGAACTCTTTTCGTATCGATAGGAAACTGTGTTTGGCACCAAGGCCAATTGACAATTTTTGATCCGTTTTCCCTCTGAAGGTGCACAGCAAGGGCACCTTGTTCATCCTTCCTTATTGTGTATCTCACGTCAATCAAGGCAAAGATTGTAGGCTGATTCAGCATGTCGCGGCGAGAGCAAAGCGGATACTTGAAAAACAAGCTGCAGCAAGAGCTTTTGGAAACTTCAAGCAGGCAGGGATGAACTCTGCATCGCCTGGAAACTAAACGGCTTTTCAGATTTGTGAGCCATTTACATAGGGTCGTGGGGGTCAAGGCTGCAAATTCTGAGCTGGAACGAGCACAAGGTCACCAGATTTCTGGTCCACTCGGCCAAGCCGCCTGATCTGGGGCGTCAAGTGAGATACTGGTTGCGAAATCGGAACAGACTTGAAAAACTTGAAACAACACCGAGACAGCACCAAGATTTTTTGCTAGCCGAAGGGACGCCAAAAAGGTGCAACAAAGGTTTACCTCCTTTGAGCCTTGGCAGGATCTGCGCAACGAGCCCAAGCGAACTGAAGCAGTGGCATTGCACCTGCACTGGGTGCAATGCACATCTGCCAATGGAAGAGTCTTGCCACGGAACCACGCTTGAGACCCACACTGTGCATATCCTATATCACACTCCTCGCACGAGACCATTTGCACAAGCTCAAAATTATTTTGATAAGCAAAGTGTTCTTCTTTCACTTCGTTCAGTCACATGACGTCGGCTCGTGGCCAGGTGCGCCTCTGGTCTTGCACCGTGCTCACGCCGAGCTCGGCCAACAGCCATGAACAATAACATGTGTAGCATCCTTCAAACCCAAGGCAATTCGGATTTGACAATTTGGCATGTAATCCACCTGTGCTGGTAGAAGCGCACGAATCAACCTGACTCTGCGTACGACGAAGTTAAAGCACGTTCTCCTTTCAGTGCCTTTCATCATTTGGACTCTGTGGTGTCTTTTCCGCTTGTATCTTGGTGAAAGTTCACATCTCAAAACAATAGGAGGCAGGAGTAAGCACGTATGGGCACCGAACTTAATATGCCTGTGCTGCTGGAGGTTGTGGCAGTCTTTTTTTTTTTTTACATTTTTTGACTTGCAATCTGCCCTCTTGAGCAGGTCAGCAAGTGACCGCAATCTCCCAGCTTAGCAGTGCTTGTCAAGTTGAAGTTGAACATAGACTCTCTTTGTCAAATATGCAAGCAGCTTCTCTTCGAACATGTGCGGCCTGCACATATCCAGCATCAGCTACATTGGATCACTAGATACTAAGGAGCAAAGCCCGGCATCAAGACCCTGCAAAGTACCTCCGAACATGCAGTTCACAACTGATCTTGCATCACACGGCAGGTGAAGCTTTAGCAAGTGACAAGAGCGAAACTGCCTCGCAAAAGGCTTGGACAGCCTTGCAAAGGAAGTTTCTAAGCTAAGTTGGTTGCATTTGCACAGCCAACCAAGGACCAAACACAATCAAGGAGATTCAAAATCTTCCATTCTCAACGATGTGAGCCAATCCCTATCTGCTTCCTCGGAGACCAGCCTCAAAAGCAAATGATGTTGCCTTGGAGACTGTGTATCTGAAATTGCTCGAACCACTTGCAGGAATCCAAGAAGCAGGAATCACAGGAATCACAAAGGGTTTTTGACGAAGAGGTTCTTCAGCCGCATGAGCAGCGTGGGCTCCGCTGCTTGCCACTTTTTTGGCAATTGAACAATGGAGAACAAAAGTACATCAGAAGACTCAAAGGCACACTTGTTTCTCTCGGGGGGGCTCATCAAGTGCAACTGCCGTTCCTTCAACCAGTACTCTTGAATCATGCTTCAATGGACTTCGTGCAAAAACGCATGGCATGACTTGGCCTGTCCAGCAAGTTCGCTTGGTCCATTCAACAGAGCGGCGAGGGCCCAATGAGCTTGTACAGTCCACAGAGTCCAAAGTGCTTTTTGAAAGGACAGACACGAAGGAGGCTTTTTTTCCAGCCATGTCAGCCGGCTCCTAACATTACTCTTCTTCAGGGTTAAGCATTCTCTGGCGCATGATTTTTAGCTAAATCATATATCATCCTTTTGGCGCAGTTTTTCGTGTACACCTCAACACGCTTCCGGACAGGGACGGCTCGGATCCACGGACATACCAACCAAAGCGCATTACGTTCCCAAACAACCGATGCACTGGCAATCTTCAGGCAATCATTGCGTAATTTTAACACAACACAGCAGAAGCACAACATCCTGAGCTTGTCTTCATCCGCATTTTCAGATCAGCTCTTTTTCAAGCTTGATGCATCACAAACGTGTCCCTAGAACTTTATTCAGCCGGCCTGACAAAAGAATCAGCTTCGAAATGTTCAACAAAAACTTCATCGAACAGTGCAAGAAGTGATGGAGCCCTTTGTCTTCCCACCTCTTCCTTTAGACCACCCCTTGATTTTCAGCGAGCAGAACCACGGTCGGGCTTATGATGGTTTCTGATTCTACAGTAAGTTCCCATTGAGACTGCATGCAACTGGCAAAGTTTGCCTGCACACCCTTCCATTCAAATTTTGATTTGATGCTGAATACTTATACTATGTAAGTGGCTTAAGGGCAACAACGCTTGCGGCCGTACTCTGTGGAGAAGGAATGCAGCATGCTGCCCTACGTCTCGCCACAGTCACTTTCCAAGAAGACAAACACCCTTTGTGCGATGATAGCCATGATGGCATGCTTGTCTACACGCCGTAATTGGCAACCCGTCCTCTACTTCTTTGTCCAAAGAATGCGCATTTCAATGGGAGACAAACTGCTTTGTAGAATTTACACATTGGTAGAAGATCTCAGCTTGTCAGCACTTTGTCAGCCGTGAAATTCTGTGTAAGGTGCTACGTGCCAAACCCTTTCACAGAAAGGCCCACAAGTTGTCTCAAGATTGCTGAAAGGGTTGCTTGGCCAGAGTGTGACAGACAAATATCAAATTGTACAAATGGAACAAATCTTTTGATGGCCGATCATTGGCCTGAGGATCATGAAAGTGTGCTGTTGTGATGGCAAAGCAATTCCATAGTAAACTGAAATCATTTTCCCTTCTTTCTTTTCGGAACGAGGAAGCTGCTTGCTTCGAAGCCACTGAACGCTTCTTGTTGGTCACACTCGCAGTGATCACTGATGTTTGAGCTTATGCTTGATCCTTCTGATCATGGCTCCTTGATGGCACACCCGTGGTGCACCTTTTCCTCACAAGACAGAGTCAAATGATAGAAGAGACCACTTGAAGTGAATGACAAATGTGTCGGGAGAGACACCACAAAACAACTGTCGAAGCGCAAGTCTGTGCGAATGAAGTTTGAATTTGGCGACAACGAGAGGCATAAACTCATGAACGAAAACCAATTCCACATCGAATCAATGTTTTCAGGGCCAGCGACTGCAGATTTGTTCACTGAACAAAAAATGCAATTGCTTTTCTGCAATTGAGAAGCAAGGCATGATGAAGCAACAGGCACGCTTGCACAACATGAGTGAAAGTCGCAAGGGCTCTAGATGCTCAAACATTTCAGCTTACAGATTTGAAGCGGCACCTCAAGGCTCTTGGTCACTGGGGTCCCTTGGCATCGCTTGGCGATGCATACGTGAACGGGCCGTCTGCTTCCAAATGTGCAGTTGCGCAGCCTCACCTGTTGGCAACATGCTCACGTTCCGTGGGTGGCAAAAAGCAAAGGAACACTTAACTAACTCTCGCAGTTTGCAACACACTGGTTCCAAGGACCAAATGTTGCATTTCCAATTCTTTGCGAACAAAAACAAAAACGTGTCAACATATTGAAAATCAACTGAAAAAACACGTTCTGGAACCAACACATTTAGGCTATGAAAGCGATTAGTGTAAGTCCTAGGTTGTGGTCCTCGTTTGACGATTCAACACTGCAACTCCTCGGACCAGTGATGAAAAATCAACATGACCTCAACGATTGAGAAACAAGGCATGTCATGCAAAACACATCTACATATATAAAGACATAAACATATATTCGATTGTATCAATAAATTCCAATCCAAAGGAATTCGGTCTGCAAACAAACCACGTATCTGAGATTCAATTGCGGTTGTATATCCGGGAAAACCCAGAAAATTAGGAAAACATGAAAACATGAGCCAACAAGTTGTCCGTCCCTGTGCTCGTTTGGTGCTGGTCACAATTTGAACAATGGTAGCAATCTCTGCTGGCTATGGGCCATCGCCTTCAAGAACATTCTGCGCAATGACTCTTGATCTTGGTCACGGCAATGCATGTTGCCTGACATGCAGAACAATGGGGCCGCCTGTGGCAGTGCATCTGCCAAAGTGATGCCCGTTGCTGCTGTCAAGATCTTTTGCCATCCTGAGATGACAGAGAGCCAAGCAAAAATATGCAAGAATATGGTTCCATTGCGTGCGCAAACGTGCAGGGGCACA